CGAACACACCAACATAACAATAAAAATATGAGAAACGACTGGAAGGATCGGAAAACCCTAAGGAACAACCTAAAATAGGGGAAAAGACAAATAAAATGGGACAAACATCTATAACGAGTACAACATCAAACATTTCACAGTCAAATGGGCAAGTGGAAGCTGTCAACGAGGAAATGAAGAATGGCTTGAAAACCCGACTTGACACTATGAACGGAGCTTAGCACGAGGAATTGCCGCACGTCCTATGGGCATATCGTACCACAGCTCGGTCATCAACCAGGGAAACACCCTTTTCCCTTTCCTACAGAACATAAGCGATGGTCCCTGTTGAACTTGGGTCCCCTACCTATCGAGTCACCCATTTTGATGAAGAAACCAACTCCAAAAATATAAGAGAAAGTCTCGATCTGGCAGAAGAGTTGCACACCCGAGCAGAACTAAAAAACGCGGCTTACAAACATAGAAGCTAGAAGTATATCAATTCTAAGTGGAAGCCTCGGACTTTTCAAGTCGGTGACTTAGTCCTCAAGAGAATCACCGGGCCTGAACCGGGGCCCCTCAAGCCAAAATGGGAAGGACCGTTCAAAATAAGCCAAGTACTCCCCGACGGAGCTTACCGACTTGAACACCTTAACGGCCACCCCCATCAATATCCCTGGAATGCCGTTTTCCTTAAGAAGTATAGCCAATAATGACACAATGTATGTTGGGTGTGCCTGAAAACTTGTTATAAGCCTAAGGGCCCAAAATGAAAATATTTTCCGATGTTGACCATTTCCAACCGAACCTTGAAGTTGGTTCAGTAAGGCTACATGTGCCCATTTCCAGCCAAACCCTGAAGTTGGTTTGGTAAGGCTACATATTCCTGTTTTCAACCAAACCCTAAAGTTGGTTTGATACGGCTTCATATGCCCATTTCCAACCAAACCCTGAAGAAGGTTCGGTAAGGTTGTATATGCCCATTTTCGCTGAATCCTGAAGCTGGATCAGTGAGGCTGTATAAGCCCCACTTTACTGCATTCAAGTATCACTATGTTGGTATTCTATAGGACCAACGTCCATATAACCAATTTGTACTCGGGAACATGGTAAGTCTCTATTTTACATACAATATTCAACTCGACTACGAAAATAAACTTTATGTTTCCCAGAATTTGTTAGTTTCAAACTAACTATTCCTGATTTAAAATATCATTTTTAAGTATTTTTAACATCTTACGGGTTGGATGACCTTTGGGACTAAAAACCGAGAAACCATGATCCCCGAGGTCAATACACTTGCACCAATGGAAGTAATCAAGTGACATGACATTCATGACAACAACTTGTAAAATCAAGAAATAAAGCACAACTAGAGGAGGAAACTTGGGCTTTGAGAGTCATTTTAGGCGCTTGATTGTTGAGGTTTTGAGGTGGTCGGATGTCCTTGGTGAATGGTCGTTTGGGAGGAGCAATATTTGTAGTTAAGTAAAAAAAACTCACCTTCTTCGTCTTCTTCAGTCCTGGGGAATGCAGCGGCGGGTTCGCGGTCACGGCGTCTTCTCCCTCCACCCCCTCCACCAATGTGGGCCGCCGGTCTATGCCTCGCCTGCTGGGACTGTGTCTGTTGGGGTGGGGCGTACTCCTCTTGAGATAAAATTTGCCCCGACGACGCCCTTTGTGTGACCGACTGGCGCCCAATAGTCAGATAAGCGTACAGGAGTTCCTGGCTCTGCTGGAACGCTCCCTGCATTCGGGGAGGTAGCGTATCAAACATGTCTTGAAATATCGATAGCGTGTTATACGCCCCCTCCGTACCCGGAATCTGAAAATAAAATTCAAATAACTATTGTGAACAGCTAAAATAATAATAATAATAATAATAATAATAATAATAATAATAATAATAATAATAATAACTTAAATAATAATAAAAATCACAAATTACCAGACACCTACCTGACACTTCAACCGGTCGGCACATGGCTGAAACTCGTCGTCCTGTGAGGTCGCCGCGTAGTTTTTAGGGTCAGTGAATAGTCTCACAGTCCTAGTGTGATACCAATTAATGTACCACTCTGCCGGCTGTAGGAAGCTATCCACCGGTACATCTGGGAGGACATTCTG